ATTTGGGCTGGCACTTGAGCGTGCATTTAGAGAGGGTGTGCACTTATAGAGGGTGCACTTAGAGAGGTCTGACTGTAGTAATGTTATTATGCTATATATTTAGTATATATTTGAAATACAGTACGTAACGTTGATGTATCGTTATAATAGACAGTAATCCTTACCACATTTGGATGTTAACATTAAAAATCTACAACCAATTAAAGCAAATTCTAAAATTTCTTTAAAAGGGCGCATCTAAACTTGTCGTTAGTGTTTGTATCTCAAAAATCTTTCACAAATTTTACAAACAAACTCTTTAAATTAAATTTTAATTCGATGGTAAACATATTTAAAGCGAATCAAAGGGAGAAGGAAATAGACGCCGCACGATGCAAGGGTATTTTACAAAAAATAAATTTCATACAAAATTTTCAATTCGATTAATTTTATTTCTAACACTATCCACATTTTTCAAGGAAATTGGATTGCGATTCCTGAATTAGCAAGAAAATATCGAAAACATAGTCCCGATGGACTTGGTATTTTTTTTTTTCTAATTAAGTGCATTATAATTTTATATAGTTTTCAATTACTAACCAACAATTACTTTTATAGTTTTAGAACAGACTGTATTAGCGGAATTAGCTTTAGTAAAAGCAATTGAAAAAACTAAGGAAATTTATGATAATGATTCACCCAATCATATCACGATGCCTACAACAGTTGATGAATCTTTAGTCAGTGATGTATTCGCTAAATTAGAGTCAGCGCTTTCACAAGCTTCAGGACAAGAGAAAGAGGTGAGCCAATGCAATCTTCGATATCTTCGATATAAAGTGATAGGAACACTTTCACTTAAAAATTATTTAATAAGGTGTGTTATATTATTCCCTTTTATAGTTTTACAGATGTATTACAAAGTTTCTTATGACTTTATTTTTTTATTTTTTACTCTTAAGAATTGCTTAAATTAAAATGGTGATGACTATTATGTTATGTATTAAACCGTTAGTTTTATTTCGATAATTTTTTCTGACGAAAAGAAGAAATGATCCTTTTATCTACTACAATTATAGTACACTTCTATTGTACTAGCTCGTACCTATTTTTTTGTGGGGAGATTTGACCAATGTATCCAGACTTTGAGTACCAACTTTGTTCCACCTCAAATACCGGTAGGATACAATTTCGTACTTATCATTCAAGGCCTAGCTATAAAAGGTTTGTAAAAATAATATTTATATCGAAAAAATTAATGTAATTATTGCTTGGTTACTATAATGAATGCGTCTTTCTTTCGTTATAGGAATGGCGCAAGAAACATTTGGTAACTTTGACGGTGCGGATGGTGCAATCGCTTGTTATGATCAGGTTGTCGCTTTACTTGCTCAATATTCTGGTGAAAAACAAGAACAATTGGCAAATTGGACGGAAGAAGTTCTATATCGAGCATCATTACTAAAAGTAAGATTGGGGTAAGAACGAGAATTTATTCATTTTTTTTTTTAATATTGAACTTGTATTTTACAAATATATGAATTTTTTATTTTTTACAGAGATGCTAGCGGGGCACTTCAAGTCTTTAGAACATATCAGCATTATTCTACTTCTTCATGGGGTGAAAAATTCAGACTTAATAAGCGTGCTGTCATATATATGAATTTTATAAAATTTCTTTCGAAAACATACCAAGAAAAGACTTATATTCCGCCGAGTGAGCCTACAGCATTTACACTTAAGTATGCAATTCATATAATCGATATCTGGTTGATCTATAAATTTCTTAATGATGATAATTATTGAACTATAATGTGCATTCTGTGTGTAGCGAACAATCTACCATATATACTCCGCATACGTTCCGCGTCGAGATAACTGGTTTGCATACACTATATGAAAATGTATTATACCAAATAACGTCATTCCCTAAGGCTGGTGAGATAAATTGGAGAGTTTTGGAAATGGTTGATCAAATAATGTCTGATTGGATTGTGTTAAATGGTGGAACTACTACAGAAATGCGAGGATTGGTTGAGGTTAGATCTCTTTTAATATTTTAATATTTTAAAAAATTACACCCAGTTTACTAATTATTTATTTGATTTTATGCAGATGCTTTATCGCGCTGCTCAAAAAACCTTTCAATCTCCAAAAATTCTACGATATCTGGCATTTACTTTGTACACACTCGGTGATTATGATGAAGCTGAGTTGGCTTTAGAAGCCTATATCACCTTGGTTGAGAAACTTAGAGAAACGAAAACTGCAGAATTTTTTAAAAAAATTCCATCCACAGAAAACGATAATAAATTTTCTGATAATGAAAGTGTCGAGCATGTCGTGAAAGTACTGATTACTGGTTCTGAGATGATGGCAAAATATTTATGCAAGGTATTTATATTATTATATTACTAGAATATTTTATATTACTAAGGAGATAGCTTTAGTGCACAAAAATTTTTACGACTGTTTATGATTTATAGTCAGATAAAACTCTGGAATATGCAAAAAAGGCCTTGACCTGGTGTGAAATTGACGATAGTCTTGTGGATAATAAATCATTTGCTCAAGCTTGGCGCTGTGTTGGTGTTGGATATAGTTTAACTGCACGCGAAGGTTGGTTGATTTAATTATTGTCGCATCTTTCGCATCTTTAATTCGTGACATAGAATTATCTTGTTAAAAACCGCTTTTGTTATACTTAATATTTTAATACCGACAGCTATTGATCCGGAAAACCGTCCTGATCTTCACTCAAAAGCAATCGAAGCATTCGATAAGTCGATATCACTTGATCCGGATGCTTTTGAAACGCATTATCTTCTGGCTTTAGAATATGCATTTACAAGGGACATTGGTAAAGCAATTGATTGCGTGCGACAAGCTATAGTGCTAGAAAATGAGAGTGTTCCTTGCTGGCATTTACTTGTCCTTCTTATGTCTTCTCAGAAAGATGTTCAAGGTGCATTGAAAGCATGTGAAATGTGTTTAAAAGAAACGGACCTAGAAAATACGGATTTATCTGTTGATGATGGTGAAGAATTTTTATCTTTTAAATTAACTCAAAATGCTTTACATGAGTTAGCAAACGGTCCTGAAGCTGCAATACAAAATCATGAAAAACTTTTCATTTTATATGCAAAAATGTTTCCTGAATTTACATTGGTATCACCAAATGATCCTCCATATGATTCAACTAGCTCACGAAAGCAAAGTAATGCATTTGATGACACTCAGGCACAAACTACACAATCACCAAAGCCCGCAACTAGTGTACGAAGCTTTCCAAGCGTACTCGAAAAGAAAGATGGTGATGAAAGTACTGATGGTTCTATTTCAAGCATCGGATTAGGAAACAAGGATACACTTGGTAAATTGGTTAAGACTTGTAATTTATTCTTATTTTTTTTTGCCTCTTCAAAATAAATATCTAAAAATAGTTTCTAATAATACATAACTATTAGAGGTTCCCAAGACAAATTATGCGTCGTCAATCGCGTCTTCCAGGAACTCGGCATCATCTCGTCGTAGTACAACACCCACAATTTCCGGTATTCCATCTGCTAAATCGGTGACATCGTTTATCGCACCTTCACAACCAATACTAAAAATGCGATATAGAAAACAACGAGCCACTAAAAGCTTAGTAGATTTATGGCTTTCTTCTGCATCGACTTTCCGTCGTCTTGGCAACTTAGAAGAAGCACAGAAAGCCCTAGAAAGCGCTGAAGAGACTGATAATTCTAATCCAGATTTATGGTGTCAGGTATCGTATAACATCATATTTATTATAGTTGAGTCAAATTATTGAATTATAGCATTTCCGCATTATACTGTATTACGAAATTGCGGAATCTTGTAAATTAATTTTGACGTTCAACTATAATCATATCTATTTTATTTGTTGATATCATAATTGATGAATCTACTAGCTGATAAATAAATGTAATTTTACAGTTTGGTTACTTGCTTTTTATTCAAAAACAATATGCTGATGCAATTACCTCATTTCATAATGCTCTTGCAATTGATGGAAACCATGTTCCAACTCTTATTCATTTGGCTAGAACTTATATTGAGACAGATAAGATCGATATTGCGGAAGGCCTTCTTGAGAGTGTCACTAAGGGTAATGGTTGGGACTGTGCAGAAGCTTGGTATTTATTTTATCCTTCAGATATTGTTTTTCTGTCATGAATTGAATTTAAAAATATAGTATGATTTACATATTAATGATTATTAAAACTATTTCATTTACTTTATTTTCAATTAGGCTATATTTAGGCAAAATATGTCAAAATACCAATAGAGTTAAGAGAGCTAAAGACTGTTTATGGTATGCTTTAGATCTAGAAGAATCAAGCCCTGTGA